CCCCTTTTGAGGCCTTGGTTACCTTCTCCAAGGTGGTCGACCTTGTCAAGGTCTTCACAAGGGGGCGAGGGCATCCCACATCTTGGGGAAGGGGGGTCGACCTCCACCTGTGGAATTTTGCGCACGTCCACCACCACATCCCGGAAGACCTTACGTCGACGATTACTGGTGGCGTTGTTGCACAAGGCGGAGAAACCAACCGTCACTCTACGCGAATTCCTGCAGCACGTCGCTCACGACCCGACGCCAGCACTTCCGTTGATGGATTATACCGTAAGTTGCACAAGATGTCACATCCCCTGGACCGATATTCCGAGGCTCCATTTCTCGTCAGGAAAAGCGGTGACGGTGCCGAAGATGGCGGCGTTGCAACCGTCGCGTCGGGAGCTTTCCGACGATGTATCGTTTGATTCATGCATCCTCTTCGTCGCGGACGAATCGACCCTTGAAAATCGGTCCAGGGGGTGTGATATCTTACGTATGCAACCTAGGGCACCTGCCCACCTACCCCGCTCCGAGTGGAGGGGCAACGTGGACTAACCTCTGGCCGCACGACGTGAGCACAGGCAAGTACCGTAGGTTGGCATGCATAAGAGAGCACACACCCTGGACCGATTTTCAAAGCTCGATTACTCCACGACGAGGAGGATGCCGAAACTGAAGTATCATTCGTTTCCGGAAAGCTCTCGACGAGACGGTTCCGATGCCGCCTTTTTCGGCACCGTCGCTGCTTTTCCTGCCGAGAAATCGAGCTTCTAAAATCGGTCCAGGGGGTGCGTGATATCTTCCGCAACCTAAGGTGGCTCGCGGAGAGTGAACCCTCAGTTTCTCTAAAATATGAACGCCAAAAGATGTCTGGAGTGGTGGAGCGTCCGGTTCAACACCGCGAACTGGAAACCGTTTCCTTAGCCCTTAGGTTATTTCAATCCAAACCTATCACTGTAGCAGCGACCCAGTTCCCTACCCATTATTCACTTTGTACCGCCCCTACTTTTGTAACAGCAACCGATTTCACTACCCCCAACTCACTCCAGAACACAGCCAATATTAATCCATTTCATTAACCCGACTAGTTTCAAACCACCCATACGGAAACAGCAACCCATTTCATTACGCCTCACTCACTCCATACCACCCGTACGTAACAGCAAAATATAAATATTACCCCCCGCAAAAGTTAACCCATTTCGTTCATCCCGGGTAACCCTCCTGTAACAGCAACTCGATCCATTGTTCATGGGGTAACTTTAGAACACTCCGAACAGCAGGTAGCCCTTTCCGTCCTACAGTCCTGCATTTCCCTGAGCGCCGCACCCGGAGTCACTTCACATCACCCCCGACGGCAACACCTTGATCCCCACTGAATTTCACAACCCTCGACAGCTGCTCATTTCCCCATCTCAAACCTTAACCCTGCCACAAGACCATGCATGTCACACCTTCTCCTTCACCTTACATAGGTTTCCAAACGGTATGCTGCAATAATACACGTTCACCATCAATGGGGATTCCAAACGGTATGATAACAGTCACACCTTCGTTTTACCTTAATGAAGTTTTCCAAACGGCATAATACAATGATACACGTTCACCTTGCATGGGTTTTGCAACCGGTCTGGTACATGTCACACCTTCATCTTTACCTTCATGAAGTTTCCAAATGGGATGAATGATGAAACTGCACGTCCACCTCACCTTGATGAGTTTTCCAAACGGCATGAAATACGTTACGCCTTGACACCTTGCCTTCATGTGATGTCCAAACGGCATGTTAAACATGTGACACCTTCATGACGTTGTCCCCAACGGATCACGGTCAACGTTACACCTCGATAATGTTTACCTCGATGAAGCGCATCATACCTTCATGAGGCCTCCGAACACAGTATGATACACAAGTTACACCTTCATGACGTCGCCAATGGATCATGATACGTGTTACACCTCCATGAGGTCCACCATACCTTCATGAGGTCTCCAACATCCTGAGGCCGTACAGCGATTGCTCTCTTTCCGGCCTTAGCCACCTCCGACGGGGTCAGGCGGGCCGCAGAACCACCCCCTCCTCCTCCTTGTCCGCCCCATCTTTTTCCGATTATTGATATTGGCGGAAAAATGGGCATGGTTTTGTGAATGCATTTGATTGAGGTTCCGATTCATTTGGTGAATAAATTTGATTGAGGTTCCGATTCATTCGGGTACAGGCGGGCCGCAGAACCACCCCCCTCCTCCTTGGCCGGCCCATCTTTTTTCGATTATTTTTATTGGAAAAAGGGGCATGGTTTGGTGAATGGTACATTTGATTGAGGTTCCAAATCATACAGAGTAAGGATCGCGGCGGAAACACCCCCTCCCTCCTCCATTGCTTTTTTTTTCGGAAGCGAGAAAAAAAAAGGCAAAAAACAAAGCGCCTGCTATGCCAAAAAAAATAGAGGAAAAAAAATGAGAAACTCGGCCAAATATTATTTATTCTCTCACCTGTTGGAATCTTCCGGGGAGAAAAGCCTCCTCTCGCTGGGAGTGCCCCTGGCGGGGGTGACGTGCGTTGCAGCAGCAGCACCCCCCGCGCCTCCGGCCTGATGCTGCGGAGTAGAGGTGGCGTTTCTCACGGCGGACCGGCTGCGAAGGCTGCTCACACAAAAAAAAAAAAAGAGAGAAAGAAAAACGAGAGACAAAAAAGTAGAGAATGACAGACCGCCTTCACAACATTAATAACTATATCAGGAAGTAGAACAGGGAGGGGTGGCGCAAACCCCACCCCTATAACCGAAACCGTCACCCAAATTCCCCGATAGTGTGCTTTATCCAACATGCTTCCTTCATCGAAAATCCGACGAAGGCTTTCTGAGAATTGCAGCCCGGTTCCTTCGATGTTTCACCGCAGTCTTTCGGTCACAGCAGACTCATGACGAACCTCAAAGAAGAGTGTTCGCTGGAACGTCAAGCATATTCTAAATCGGTCCGTTAATGTTAGAGAGACAGTCAATCAATAACACGCCGTCGAAGACAAAATAAAAAAAGAAGACGAAATATGGTTTTTCTGGGTCCTTGATATTCTTTTGACTGAAGCGTGCGCCGTTTTCGTGTGGTTGCCCTGTTACCGCGTCCGCGTCAGTTGGTACTACTGAGCAGAAGACCGGACATGGGTTATAGCGTGAAGACAACATCAACGCCGCAGTTGGAGGTACGGATGGTGGAAGGCACTGCGCAGACACCCGAACATTTAAGACCACAACAACAACAACACCAACGGCAACAACGGAAATACCAACACCAACACCAACACCACCATCAACAACAACAACAACAACAACAACAACAACAACAACACCAACACCAACACCACCATCAACAACAACAACAACACCAACACCAACACCTTGTAAGGTGCTTCCCCATTATGCTCGGGCGTCAAAAAGCATAAAAGGACATCGAAATCTTGGCACAGGTCGAGCATATTTGACCGATTTCAACATAATTGAATTGGCCGAAAAACGTACCTACATGACACAATGGCTTTTCTCGAGCATTATGGGCCTAAGAACCAGCATACTCTGCATTGTTGAAAAAAAGAAGAAAAACAAAGCAAGCATACAATTTCGAAAGAAAAAAGAAAATTGGGAAGGCCCTAAACATCACACACCTCGTGGACCGGAGCACTTCGGGGGTAGTCATCGCGGTCCCCGCCCTCACGTCACCCCCTCCCCCCCCCCCTACGAAAAGCCCCCCAGCCAAGGCGAAACCCCTGTCGAAACGGCGAGGAGTCGTCGCAGCCGACTCTGCCGGGGGAACGCCGACCAGCCTGGCGATGTTGGGGGGCAGTCGAGCCAGGGAAGCCATGTTCCACCTGCTGAGAATTGGGAGGGTACCGGTTGGGGGGGGCGGGGGGGGGCGTACTCTTATGTTTTGCATGCCTTAGCGGTTAGACCATCGACACGTGTCCTTGAGAGGACGGTGTGTGTGTGTGTGGGGGGTGATGTTTATTTTTTAGGGAGGAGGTCG